CACACCCCTAACCACAACTCCAACCACACCCCCTCTCTCATTTGTTACAGTACACCAGGCCTCACATGAGATTTTAAAAATTTAAAATCTCACATGAGATTTTATAATTTAAAGGCGTTTTTGTGATTATTAGATTTTTCCAGGGTTTGTTTATAGTTTCATATTTTTCAGAGAGCTAATTGTTTTTTTAAATATGTTTAGTAGTTATTTGTAATTTTATAAGTTAATCTGCAAATAAGAATGATTTGAGAGGTATATATTGGCCTTGAGGTATAACGTTTGTCAGTTTAAACTTATGGGCTAGTGCCCTTATGGCGTTAAGAGCAAAAAATTAAAATATTTTGGTATTTTGTTAAAATTTTGAAACTTATCTGGGGTTTCAAAAAATTTGCAGGCTTAGTGCCAAACTGCTAAACTTATTAAAGGTTCATTAAAATTTATCTTTTAAAAAATTAAGGAGATCCAAGTGATAATTTTTTGAAATGTAAGGCTAAATAATAAACCATTGATCTCTTCTTTATAAATAAAAGAAAAGATAATTAAAAAAGTATATGATTATCAGATTTAATTTGATGAGGATTTTAGTTATGGATAGTGAATACCCATTCATATACTATTTCATGTTAAACGAGTCATTGTTTTATGCTCTTAGATGGTGTTATTTGGTGGCTTTAGTAGCACTACCAATTTCTCAATGTTTTTAAAAGAGATATATATATCATTTGTAGGAGAAGAAACGTATATAGTTTCTTTATATATGTGAACATGAACACATATTATGAAGGCTCACAGTGAATTTATGCAACATTTTTGAATTTATGTTATGAAAAAGAATACTATAGTCATCGTAGTTTTCGACTCCATATTACTATAGTCATCTATTGAATATAGGCAATGATGAAATTCTATTATCAAACTGACCTTAGTACTTAAAAATTGCATTAAGTAGACAGCCATCAGGTCCATGTGTGAGCAAGGAAATGAATTTTTTTCCAACAAGAGTAAAAAAGGAGAAATTTTCAAAATAAACTTTTTTTTAAAAGAATATAAGCAAAATTGACCGTTTTCAAATAAAATTAGCAATTTCGACCTTTTTTGGTCAGCTCATTATTGCTGGCCGAAAAAAGATCGAAATTGCAAAAATAAGATTGGTAATTACACGGGTCTACTAGTCCCGTGTAATTACAAAGTGCTAATCGTTTATTCCCGTGACCCTTGCTTTCTCTCTCTCTTCGTGTACACGTCCCCTCTTTCTCTCTCTTCATTATCTTTACGTCAAGTTTGGTACGTGGGAATGAAGTCAAGTGAGAATGGAATGGAAGAAGGAATGAGATGGAATGTATGTGAGAATGGAATGGTCATTCCCATTCTCTTGTTTGGGTGCGTTTGTAGAATGAAGCTTCATTCTCTTGTTTGGGTGCGTTTGTAGAATGAAGCTAGAATGAAAATCTAATTCTCATTCCCATATTTGGTATCACTAGTTCACTGCGTTTGTAGAATGAAGCTAGAATGAAAATCTAATTCTCATTCCCATATTTGGTATCACTAGTTCACAAATGAGAATAGAATCTCATTTTCTAATAATGCCCTTATAACAACATATATTTTTAATAAGATAAAAATAAACATTAATGATAATAACTAAAAAAATTTATTTATGCATATGCTACATTAATCTAGGTATGTGTTATACTAATGCGCATGTTATCGATCAGGTGTATGTTTTGTTTATATTTTTTAAACAATTCTCACTATTTCTGCATATGTTATATTAATCTAGGTATGTGTTATAATAATGCCCTTATACCTCTATATATAGTCTAGACATGATATGGTTTTGATAATTTTAATATTTTGGTCAATTTCTCAGTGAGAGTTTCCTCTTTTCATAAATATTGGGTCAAATATTTTTCAATCAAAAGTTAGATTTATTGTTGTGCATAAACCACAATCAAACATGTACGCAATGGGTACATATAGCTCTCTATGGTAGGAAAACAATAGCAAAAGTTCAAAAAGAATATAATATGCTGGTGAAAATAACAGACTTTAAACATTGGTGAATTCAAAAAAAATTGATTGACCAAAAAAAAATTATTGGCATGAAAGAATTTCAATCGAAAAATAATATATAGTTTCGGTTGTATCTGTTTTTATATTAAATTGTGTTGCTCCTATGTTGAGCAATTGTGATATAATAGGCTAATGAAATATGTACCGCTAGTTTTAATATACTACTGAAATATGTACCACTAGTTTTAATCCTTACCCCGCAAAAAATTCCTATTGTTCGAATATAATTAGTAGCTGAGAGAAAATGAGAATACGTAGTCAAAAGCCATGATTTTTAAATTGATTCTTATTATTAATAGGGGTATAATTGAAAAAAAACCTAACTAACTTGATTCTCCCCTTGAATGGGAATGATCATTCCCTATCTTCTCACTTAGAATGCACATTCCCACAAAAAGTGGGAATGACCATTCCATGAGAATGGTCATTCTAACATCTAAAAACAAGTTTTGTTTGGTATGAGGGAATGAGAAGTGAGAATGACATTCCATTCCACCCCATTCTCGCGTACCAAACGGGGCCTTACTCTTTCTCTCTCTCTTAGTTCCTAAATTTTCTCGAGAGGGCGCTCATGATTTGCTTCGACAGCCGACTGAGTCCACGCTGTTGAGTCCGCCG